CAAGATTGTCTCATTTACAATCCCCCTATATACATGGAATAAAATGAGCCTGGCCTTTCTTGAAATTCACTTCTGCACTGTCACCGACTGACATTCGGGTCAGGGTGGCTTAGTGGTAACGTGTAGAGATTGTACATGGCAGAACCCGAATTCGATTTCCTCCTCTGGTGCTGATGAGATTGAGGTGAGGTTGAAACTGCAGTACACATTTTGGGAAGTAATGTTAAATGAATTTTTATGGAAACTTGAGGCCTATTCATATTTGCATTGAAAAGTTCATATATCACTTCTTCATCGCTTTATAGTAGCTAGGGTAACCGGTACTCTTATTGAAGATTTATTGAAGGTTTCTAAACCCACTTTATATCAAGAAAAACATTAGTCAGGGCATTTAAGAGACTATACTTGGTGAAACACTGGCTTTGAACTCCCTTATTCCTTCCTTCCATAGTCTCAACTGAACATGAAATCTGCATTAATCAATTTCTCTCTTACACTTGCGGCATCACTATTCACTAGATTACGATTCTGACGAAAGAGATTGGATGTGGTAAGTTTCCAGTCCATGTTCGTCAAACTAGCATCCATCTGCTCTCTTGGATAGAAATTCATACCTCATTTAAGGCTCAATGTACACTGTGGGTTTCTGATACAAGACGCATTTGTCCCACCCTGCCTTCTGGACTATGGAAACTTGAGGCCTATTCATATTAGCATTGGAAAGTTCATTTATCACTCCTTCATCGCTTGCCGATGGTTTCTAAACCCATTTGAACCCACTTAACCCTAGCTTGAAGGTGCTGGGCCGGAAGAATATGTGTTTCGTGAGCTCCATTAGTGATCGTTTAGCTCGCATACAACCTTGGGTTGAAGGGATTCAAAACATTGGCCCAATCGGAAACCCCCCTGAGTGTTGATTTGGGCGAGAAAGTCCTCAAATTTAAGTTTGGATATCTGCCTCAGAAGTAGGTCTAATTATTAACGGCCACCATTATTGGTTACGTGATCGGTGGATCTCATAACAGTGAGCTGAGTATTAGTTCGCAAAAATCTACAGTCAGTCCAGTTCATGTTTCTCTTTCATTCAACTTTTACACAAAAAAGGCTTTATGGGATCATTTAAGGAATTCTCCAAACCCATTCCTTGAGTATGTCCAATATGCTTAAATGGCGGAGGTCGCTCAGTCGGACCATGTCTTTCGAACCAATTTTTGGGGTAAATTTGGCGTACCAGTCGTCCGAGTCCAACAGGTACAGAGACAAGGCGGTAAAAAATTAAGGGAAAATGGATCACCAGTTGGCAGAGCAGTCCAGAGTTGGAGATAGGCGTCACGAAGCTTTACACATAAACACGACACACTGGACCATGGAAACAGACAAAAGCATCACTACACACATAAAAGCGCACTAACTTGACAGATAGTGGTGTCTAACTGTACCAATGGGATGTACGAAACTGAGAAAGAAGGAACCAAGTTAATACGACTTTGAATACGAAGAGCCCCAAAATGGAGATGTATTCACCCATTACGAGTTGTAGCTTGGTGGGGAGAAGGGCAAGACTCACTGACGATGCCTACAACAATGCCAGTGAAATGCATGGGAATGTACCAAGTTCACGTTCCAACGCTGAGAATTATGATAACTACCATAGCAGAGGAGTTCGGACAAGATGTGTCCAACTAGGCCACCCTGACAAC